CTGCTCTAGTCAGATCTAGTCATGGTCCATAGTCCTTCCATGTCTTAATGATGGATTTAACTGGACTCCAGAGATGTTCAGGAACTTGGAGATGTTCTGGTATCGTCTCCTGACTGATGCTTCTCAACAACCTTCTCCCAGAGTTCTTGGAGGGTTCTTCAGTCTTCATGGGGTAGTTCTATCCAGGAGTTCTGATCCACCAGTGACTGGACCTTCCAGATACACGAGTCTTTATGTTACAATCACTGAGACGCATTCACTGACCTCAGATGATGCGTTTACTGACTGTGGGACTTCTAGCACCACCTGGCTGCTTACTTGGGGGAATATTTATGTAGTCACTTATTCTACATGTTTAATTAATTACCATTACTTTGTCAACATCTGTTTTCACTTTGACATTAAAAAGTCTTTTTCTGTAAATTATTGTCCAAGATGTCAGATGATGCTGAGCGTGATTCAAACAGCACCTCCTTCTATAGACTCAGTAGAATGGAACCAGTGTGCAGCGTTCTGTCATGTTAAAGTCCAGTGTTCAAACTCACAGAGGAGGAAGTCGAGTCGCCCTGAAGATCATTAAGAACCTGGAAAAATACAGAGAAGCAGCCAAACTGGAAATCAACGTTCTGGAGAAGATCAGAGAAGCAGATCCGACCCACAAACAGTGAGCGGTGTGAGCTTTGAGTCAGCGCCGAGCTGAAGGTTCTCGTGTTCACCTCCATCTTCTCTCCTCCTCCAGCAACTGTGTGCAGATGCTCGACTGGTTCGACTTCTACGGCCACGTCTGCATCTCCTTCCAGCTCCTGTCTCTCAGCACTTTCGACTTCCTCAAGTCCAACAACTTCCTCCCGTATCCCATCCAGCAGATCCGACACATGGCCCAGCAGATCTGCCACGCCGTCAGCTGTGAGTCCATCAAACCGCCAACGCCTCCTTCTGCTCTGAGCCATCGTTCACTCATTAGTTAATCACAGTTTACATTACTGGTGATAAATTCTGGTGTCCAAAGTGTCCTTTTGGCTGCAGGTTTTAATCAGTCTGGACCAGT